CTGTCCCAGGCCCCGCGCACACGCAGACACACACACACACACACACACACACACACACACATCCTCCCTGCGTCTTTTCTAGCCTGGATATTGAGTCTGACCAAAGGGTGCCGGAGAACTACTTTGAGTTATTCGCTGCCGCGGTGGGTAATGTGGACTGGCTGCGGCTCTGTCTGGATCAGAACATGGGGGACATCTCGGAGGACAGCAAGGTAAGGGGAGCACTGCAGAGTGAGAGCAAGGACTAGAGCCCCCCTATCCGGCGAAGCACCGCACAGGCCCCCCTAAAAGGGATGAGCAGCCTCGGAGACGGCCTCGCTGTTGTTAGGAACCGTCCTGACGACTCTGAGTAACAGATCTGAACCCTGCCATGTCCTGCACCAGCCTCATCTCTGATATGCTCCAGCCCAGTTCCAGTCATGTGTCAGTCCATCCTGTTGAAGATCTTCCTCTCTCGTGCTGACCCTCCCCCTTTCCCAGCGTGCTGTCCTGATCCAAGGACGGGTCCCTCCTCACATGTCCAAATAATGTGAGTTGAAGCCCCGCCATCCTTGCCTGTGAGCCAAGGAGCACCCTGGCTGCATCTTCTCCAAGACAGGCTTGTTCTTTTGGCAGTCCATGGGATATTCGGGGTCTCTTCTCCAACACCACAATTCAAAGGCATCAATTCTTCTTCTGGCATCCTTACCCATTATCCAAATTTCTAAAGCATAGTACGTAACCGAAAAGACCGTGGCTTGAATCAAATGTATGTTAGTCTTTAAACGGACAACACTGTTCCTTAGCACCTTGGAGAGGTCTTTGGCAGTAGATTTTCCTAATGCAACGTGTCTTGTGATACTCCTTATTCACCTTCCAGCCAGGAAGAGACACTTGCCATAGAGACTAGGAGCGCCCTGCTGTCTAAGGAGTGAAACTGCCAACCCAAAGGCAGGCAGTTCGAATCCACCAGCTGCTCCAGAGAAGAAAGATGGACAATCACCTCCCATGCAATTTAGAGCCTCTGAAAACCCTCTGGAGGGTCAGCTAGACATTGGTTCCAACTCGACAGCCATGAGTTTTGAGGGTTTTGTGTAGCCCTGGACCCCAATTCCTTCTTAGTCTCCCTGTTCTTTTCTGGCTCTCACAGGGCTTTACTGCCGTCCACTATGCTGCCCAGCAGGGCAAGCTTGCATGCCTGAAGGTCTTGGTGGAGGAGTATAAGTTTTCTGTGAACCGGCCGACCAACAAGGGCCACACTCCACTGCATCTCGCTATCCACAAGGACAACAGAGCCATGGTCCTCCCCTGCATCCACTATCTGATCAAGAAGAAGGCGGCCGTCAATGCGTGAGTCCAGTGCACCCAGTGTGCCGCCTGCAGATCAGAGCCCCGCCCTGGGCAAAGCCAGGCAGGATGGGCAGAAGGGCTCTGGGGCAACAAGGACTGTGTCCCATGTTGAGAAGTCAAGACACCCCCACAGCATCCAGGGTGCAGCCTGTGGGCTGGCAGATTGGAGCCCTCCCCAGGCAGTCAGGCAGGGTGGCTGTGGGGTGACAAGGACCGTGTCTCCCCACGGAACAGTCAGGACACCCTCATGGCACAGCTGGGCTTTAGAAGACAAAGCTGGCTCACATCTCAGCTCTGTCACAAGCAGGCAAACAGCAGGACGCTGGGCAGGGCTCTCTTAAGTCTCATTACGTGGTCCCCAAATTTACCTGGACTTTGGAATCGCCTGTGGAAACACCACAGCCTGTGTTCCAACCCAAGTGCTGTGATATAACCAGCTGGGGATGTGATGAGATTCTCTCATTATTTTTAAACTATTTCTTGGGATCTGAGTGAAAAGTTTACACAGCAGATTGGTTTTGCAGTCACACATACTCCTGTTTATTCCCCACCGAGGAGCGGCATCTTCCCACTTCCTCCCTATCTTTCCCCTTTCCATTTGCCCTTCTTTCCTGACTCCATAGCTTTCTCTCTGTACCAGTGCAGCCCTTTGGGTCTTGCATGGTTGGTTACCCCAAGGAGCCCATTTCCTTCTGCTACTGAGCACCTATGGACCTGTCCATTGTCTGGCTGAAAGCTGAGTCACGGGGAAGGACTTAAGAGTCTGACTCTGGGAGTCTTAAAAGAAACCAGGTATTTCTAATCAGCAGTCAAGCGTGGAGACCATTAAGTCAGCTTCTTCAACTGCAATGGGGAGGCAGTGATATCTATTTGGGGACTACTGTGATGAGTGAGAAATGCACAGAAAGTACCTGGCCTTCATGCAAAGGACGTAGGGAGCACGCACGATGTGCTCAGCACTATTTCAGAAGAATAGCCAACACTGGAAACAGTCCCTACCCTCGTGAAGCCGACATCCTAGAGCTGTGGGTAGCAAATGAGCAAACTGACAAATGAATAAAATAACAGCAGACTTTGTAAGTGGCTCTGAAGGCTCTCCTCCCAGCAGTTCTTAACGATCACAGGCCTCCCCTAACCTCTCGCCATTCGACTTTTCATTTAGTTCATTCCCCTCAAGTAGTTGAGGATATGGAGCAGCAGCGCGGTCCGGGCCCCCACGGGCTGCAGCAGAGCAGAGCTAGGAGCAGGCTGCCCACCCATCTGACAGGTGCTGCCTCCTGTCCTTCCTTTCCACCCTCCCCCACCCCACCCCGGCTACAGCCAAGCACAGGACGGCTGCACCCCCTTGCACGTGGCAGCCCGGGAGGGCCTGATGAGCTGCCTGAAGGTTCTGGTGGAGAACGGGGCCAATGTCCATGCCCAAGACATCAAGGGCTGCAAACCTGTGGACCTTTGCAAGATATGGAACCACCGCGCCTGTGCCCGGTGAGGGTGTTAGAGCTGCCCACTGCCTGCCACCTCCTCCTCTCCTTGTCCAAGGCTGAACCCTTGAAACAGTCTGAGAATCCTGATGGCCTGCTTGTCCCACACGAGGCCTCACCCCGTTAGGTGTAGGACTGGCCTCATTCACTGTCCTGGCCTGTTGGCTCTTCAGCAGAGGGGGGATGAGACTACCAGATACCTTCCCCTTTGACCCTGAAGAAAGTACAGTTACCCAGAGGGCCCAGGCAGGAAAACGGGGTCACTGCTGGCCTCATCTTTCACAGACACCCCCACTCCTGGCACACAGCACTGAGCTGCCTTCAGAGCCTCACTGAAGCTCAGTCGTTGTGAATGACATGCCCCCACTCTGACACCAGGTTCCTGAAGGACGCTATGTGGAGACAGGATAAGGAGGACCAGGCCTGTGAGATGAGGTGCCTGAAGAGGCTCAAGGGCAGGCTGGTCCTCCTGGAGCAGCGTTACCTCGCACAGTGTCAGGTGAGGTGAGGCCGGCAGGGCCCAGCCATCACTGCGAGCCAGGCAGGTGAGCAGAGGGAGCGGGACCCACACAGCATGGTTCAGAGAGGCCTTTGACGCACTCCCTCCCAGAAAGAGCCCCTTGCCCCCCAGGACTTGGGCGGAAGTTCAACTATCAAAACATTCCATTAGGGGAAATGCCTTGTGTCTAAACTCCAACTCCACCCAGTCTGAGTTGCCTGTACCAGTTGTCAGTGAGAGTCCAGCTCAAACTCTCTTGGAGGGTCCCATTCCCCCTACAGGAGACCTCAGAGAAAAGCCCGAAACCCAGGGCTACCTTTCCAGGACTTCTCTCCTGGTCAAACAGAAGATCCAGCCTTCTGGCACACAATGCACCCCAAGGCTCCCCAAAGAGACAGCAAGTGTTTTCCATACACTAAGAGCTCACAGTCTTGTAGGGAAATCCAGCCATATCTCCCGAGCGGAAGGAGCCCAGGAGCGGGGTGCAGGAGGATGATGTTCAAGGGGAATCTCTGAAGGTGGGTGGCAGCTTGTGAGTGCCTGTAGGAAGGCACCAGGATACATGGTGGTGCACAGGACAGTGACTGTAGGAGGCCCCAGATCATGAAGGACCCTGGTGGGAAAGGAGAGGGGAGTAACCAGAAGATTTCACTGTTGTATGGTGCCACTGAGTTGAGTATGACTCACAGCGACCCAATGAACAGAACCCCGTCCTATCCAGTGCCACCCTCGTCATCTCTAACACACCCGCACCAGCCGCGGTGCAGTCATTGTGTCAGTCCATCCCGCTGAGAGTCTTCCTCTGTTTTCCTGACACTCCATCTTTCCTAGCATGATGTCTTTTTCCAAGAAACAACTCCTAGTAACATACCCAAAGTATGTGAGACAAAGCTTCGCCATCTTCGCTTACAAGGAGCCCTCTGGTTACACCTTTTCTAAGACATACCTGTCTGTTCTTTTGGCATCTACAGGATACACAGTACTCTTCTCAACAGTACAGCTCAAAGGCTTCTTCAATGTCATCCTCACTCATTGGCAAGACCATGGCCCAAATCAGGAGCACTTTGGTCTTTTAACTGACATTGCTGGCTCTCAGTAACCTTAAGAGGTCTTTGACAGCAGACTTTATCAATATAGACATCTTTTGATTTCTTGAATGTTGGTCTTAAGAGTGTTGGTTGTGGATCTAAGTAAGATGAGGTCATTGACAATTTCAATCTTTTCTCCCTCTATCATGATGGAGTGGCATCCACTTCCTACACCAGATGCCTCCGGAAACTCTACGAACTTTGAGAAATGTCGATGGTTGTAGAGGGCTTCGACCTTTTGTTCACACGGTCACAGTGAGTTATGCTTGACTCGAAGGCAATCAACAAAAACAACAACATCATGTTACTTCCTAACCCAGTGGTGAGGATATGTTTCTTCTTGATGTTGAGATATAATCCCTATTGAAGGATGTAATCTTCTGATCTTCTCCAGCAAATGTTTCAAGTCCTCTTCACTTTCAGCAAACAAGGTTATGTCATTTGCATAACACAAGTTATTGATGAGTCTTCTTCCTATCCTGATGCCACACTGTTCTTCATAGAGTCCAGATTCTCAGTGATTTGCTCCGCATACACTCTACAAGGAGAAATGTGGCATCAGGATTGGAGGAAGACTCATCAACAATCTGTGTTATGCAGATGATACAATACTGCTTGTTAAAACTGAGGAAGACCCGAAGTGCTTGCTGCAGAAGGTCAAGGACTGCAGCTTTCAATATGGATTGAAGCTCAATATCAAGAAAACAAAGATTCTCACCACTGGGCTGGTTGGCAGCATAATGATAGATGATGGAAAGATTGAGACTGTTATCAGCTTTAGTTTGCTTGGCTCTAAAATCAACACTCTTGGCACCAGCAGCCAGGAAATTAAGATGAATTGCATTGGGGAAGTCTGCTGTCAGAGACCTCTCCAAAGTACTGAAGAGCAACAATATCAGTCTTGAGACTAAGGTACGCCTGATACAGGCCATAGTCTTTGCAATCACTTGCTATGCATCAGAGAGCTGGACAATGAGTAGGGACGATGGAAGGAGAACTGATGATGCCTTTGAATTGTGGTGCTGGAAAAGAGTTTTTAATATACCATGGAGTGCTAAGAGAACAAACAGGTTCATCCTAGAGAGGGTGAAGCCAGGCTTCTCCTTAGAGGCAAGGATTCTGAAGTGCCATCTGACATACTTTGGACATGGTGCAACGAGGGACCAGTCCTTGGAAAGGGATGTCATTCTTGGTAGGGTGGAGGGAAAGAGCAGGAGAGGAAGACTCTCTATGAAGTGGACTGATTCAGTGACTGGGGAAATGGGAGTAGGTGTGTCAGAGACAATGAGATTGGCATAGGATAGAGCAGTGCTTAGGGCTAGTGTACATAGGGGTCACTATGAGTTGCAAGCAACTTGAAGGCATATAACAACAACAACAACAGCAACAGTATGGAAAAAGGATATAGCCCTACTGCACACCTTTCTTGATTGTAAACCAGGCAGCATTTCCTTGCTCTGGTCAGACAACAGCTTCTTGGTCTAGGTCTAGGTTTAATATGAGCATGATTACCTGTCCTGGGATCCCCACTCTTCTCAGTCTTAGCCATAGGTTGTTGCAACCCATAGTCAAATGCTTTTGCCTAGTCACTAAAACACAAATGGATATTCTTCTGTTATGCTCAGCTTTCATTCATCTGACATCAGTAATGATATGGCTTGGTGCTACAGCCTCTTCTAAACTCAGCTTGAACTTTTGGCAGTTCTCTCTTAAAGGGCAGTTCTAGCCATTTTCAGAGAATCTCCAGCAATCTTTAGCTCGCATGTGATATTAAAGACATTGTTAGGTAATTCCCTCATTCTGTTAGCTCGCCTTTCTTGGGAATGGGAACAAATAGGGATTTAAGCAGGTATAATTACACGGGACACAAGACACAGCTCAGCAGGAAGGTGCTAAGGTCACAAGTGGGGCCTAGAGGTCAGAAGGATTTCAAAACAGACCAACCCAAATCCCCAAAGCCAGTGGCAAGTTGATTCTAACTTGGGAGGCCCATCAGGTTCCCAAAGGTGGGGCTCTTTATGGGAGGGAGAGCACCTCCTCTCCTCCTACAGAGTAGTGGTGGGTTCAAACCAGCCCAACGCTTACCCCATCACACCACCAGGCACGTTTGGCAGTACTGTAGGCTTGGGGAAACCTGACACCCCAGCTCTGTTCCAGCTCCCCCTTCATTTTCCCAGCCCTATGCACCTGCCTGTCACGTCACACATCTGTTCCTGGGGCCCTCACTCCCCCAGAAGCCTCTTGCTGATCTCCTCTCGGCTCTCACCTCCCTGAGCAAATGTCATATGCTGACAAACTTAGTTTTCAAGCAAGGCTGATGGAATTATTATAAGTAGCTTAACCTAATTAGGGCCTACCTCCAGAGCCGGGTCAATTTCCAAAGCACCTGAGACAGGCTGGAGAGAGTAGAGACACAGGTTGGGGGGAGGGGGGTTCTGAAACAAGGAGTTAAAGGTTTACTCCATGGAAGGCAAAGGCAAAGAGTTCACGTGAGTGGACCAAGCTAGGGAGGCCCGCCCGGTGTCAGCCCCACCCCGCCCGGTGCCCGCCACATTGACTTCCCAAGGCCCTAAACAGAGGAGCTCCATCCAGTCTCCAGCACTCCACACCTCCCAGCATTCTTCTTCCAAGGATCAGGATGCAGCTTACTTTCAAATGGGGCTCTCCGAGGGCAGGCTGTGTTCGGTGGTGGTGTGTTCCATCCTCCCCATGAGAATGGACGTCCCCGAGGGTAGCCTCTGCTAGGGTAGAAGCTGTATCTCCCCATCAACCCAGAGGCAAAGATTGTCCCCCATCAGAGCTGAGGTTCCCATGAGGCAGGTGCTTCACCCATCAGATTTCTCCAAGACAAAGACTGCCACAGCTAGAGGCTCTCCACACCACCATGTGCCGTGACCCCAAACCCTGCAACAGCCCTGCCCCAGAGCCCCTCTCCAGCCCAGAGGCACTCCCCAACCACCATGTGCCCTGTCCTCAAGTCCTCTAATGGCCCTGGGGTGCTCCCTGACCACCGTATACCCTTCCTTGCAGAAAGAGTGCAGAGCGCTGAATGAAGCTCACTTCAAGAAGTGGCTCCACTCCAAGCAGCTGCTGGCCCACACCACACAGGAGCCAGTCACAGCACCCATGGCCCCTACCCTCACAAAGACCCCAGAGAGCCTGGGCCTGCAGCCTTCCAAGAGAGACCTGCCTTTCCTGAGGTCCTGCCTGCGGCACAAGCCCACCTTGCAGCCCCGGGTAAACCAACCACCCAGGACCAGGCTGGCCAAGCTATGGGACCACAGCACTACGCTGGCCCGAGCCCCTGCCACCCAGACTGGCTATCCAAGGGGCATCCGCCCGAGGGTGCAGCTAGACCCCACAGAGGAGCATGACTTGAGTCACTTTGTGAAGGTGTACTCTGACGGGCATGGAGGTGCCCGGCTGTACACAGTTACGGGCCAGGAGGTGTGGCCCGTGCCCCTGCTGCCCCTCGAGGTGGTGGCCCATGCCCTGCACCCCTCACGGCAGCCATGCAGGATGAAGGTGCCCGAGGGCTTCAAGCCCAGGGTTCTGAGCGGTGTGCCCCAGAAGCGCCCAGACACCGGCACCTTCTGGACGGACACCTTAGCCATGACCCTCCGGGAGACCTTTGACAACGCCTTCCTGACGGCTGTGTGCACCCACCGAGGCCTCCCGGGCCTGCCTGCCCCGAGATCCTCTTCATAAAGTTATCCTGGATAGTGTCTGGTTCTGAGGTGCCTGTGGGGGGAGCTGCGTGTGTAACAGTCCATGCTTCAGATAGGGTGCACACAGGCCCCTCATTCTCAAGGTAAGGGCACGTGCAACATCTTCCATCAACCGGCTAGATCCCAGGGTTCAAAGTGGGGGCTGCTCATTGTCTGGGGTCTCATCATGGTAAAAACACCCTCAGAGACACCTGGGGCCTTGATCACATCCGGCTTCGGCATCACATCTCTAGGCCCAGAATGGGCCAGAGAACCAATCGTCAGTCGTCCTGGCCTAGTGGAGGTGGCCGCGTCCTTGCCCAGTTGTCACGGAGCTCTCTGCTGGTGAGGGGAGCACAGATGTGGGGGCAGCAACTTGAAAGCATTTGTGCCCCCTCCAAGCATTCCCAGATTCCCCCAGCTGTCCCCTGAATGCACTGCTGCCACTCATTCATTAGACAAACATTTATTGAGTGCTTTCTGTGTGCCAGGCGGCCAGCTGGGCACGGTTAATACAAACACGGAGGGACAGGCCCTGCCCTCAGAGAGCGTACAGTCTAGTGGAGACAGACTAGCCAGCAGGCAGGGAAGGCCATCCAGGGAAGGTGGGGAGGGGCAGGGAGGGCAACGCAGGGCTGCTCAAAGGAAGTGGAATCTGAGCTGCAAAGTCACCCAGGTCCGTGCAGTTAAAGGGACTTGGAGCGGCAAGAGAGCACACGCCTGGCATCTCTGGATCTGGGGGGCTGGTGCCCAGAGCGCGAGGAGTGACAAAGCCAGGGTGGTGAGCTGGTGCCACCAGCCATGAGAAGGGGTCTGAAGTTTGTCCTGAGGGCAGTGGGTGCCATAGGGCATTTAAAGGAGTGACCTGATGACCAATGCACTGAAGAAGGTCGGAGAACCAGCGAGTTGCTAAAATAAACCCAGGTCAAAGCTGATGGTGCTGGGAGCAGCTCCACTCAGCAGACGCTAGTTAGCAAGGCAGAACTGACAGCTTCTAGAAACTAGATGTGAGGGTAGAAAGAGGAAGCGGGTGGGTGGCAGGCTCTGGTCCAGCTCTGAGTGATCCTGGGGCCGGGATCAATACCCAAAGAAGCAGGCTTAGGAGGGCAACAAACGCCACGTGGGCCCTGACCCGGAATTGTCTGTGCGTCCAGTACAGGGTGAGAGAGGCGGGACGCAGGGGTCAACTGGGCACTCCTTGAACCATCAACATGGATGGGCTCCCTGTGTCAAGACAGAACCCTGAGAAGCCCCACTGCACATGGTGAGACACCTGCACTGGAGACTGAGAACAGAGAGGTAGGAGGAAGACCAGCCGAGAACAAGAGCGGGGCCATAGGCTAGGGAGGGGTGAGCCCAGGAGGATGTGGTCAGCCGCCAGCTTTAGCACTGGCTGGCACTGGCTGCCCAAGAGGGCTCTGGCCGCCCAAGAGGGCACAGGCCATGGAGCAAGCAGGAGGTGGCAGAACTGCACTGTCCAGGTGAGGGACAAAGAAGTGGACAGCAGAGATGAGCTGCGTGCCTGCCAGAGATATAACATGGACCTCCAGTATTCTCTGCCTTGTCTGCACAGAAGGGGTTCTGGTGAGTCAACCTCACCAACGGATGAAGACCAGAATCTGCTACTCCTCCCAGGAAAAGGAGACATCCACTCTTAGGAGAATGGAGAAGCCAGCAGGGAGGGTGGGAAGGGCTGAGGCATGATGGGAAGATCTTCCCGGTGGCCTCAAGGTGCTCCTGTGTCTGAGGTATAGGACACAGCCGGTAATGGCTCTCATGGGGTCCTGGTTCCAACGTGTACTGTCGTGTCCGTCAGCAAGGCACTATGGCTGGAGTGCTGGTCTGTGCCCAGAGCTGGGCCCCTCAGAAGGCAGAGACACCCCTCCAGAGTCAAGAGCATGAGAAGAGAGAGCCAGCCCTGGTGCGCTCTGACAGGCAGTGAAGGTCCGCTCCCACCAGCCTCCTCACAGCCAGCAAGCGAGGCTGCGTGCAAGCCAAAACTCCCCCGGCTCCTCTGTGAGTGTGAGATCGGATCCAGCATGAAACCACTCCTTTTCCCCAGTGGAAGACTTTAAAGAGGATAGTGCAGATGCCTGAAAGCCTGACTCTGTCCTCAGCGGTCCCCTCTCCTGCCCGCCTGACAGCCCTGTGGCTCTGGAGAAAGCAGCGATGGAAGCTGACCAACAGCCCTAAGGAAGCTGCCTCCACTCCCCACCTGACCGGCTCAGTGCCCTGCTCTCTTCCCACCAAGGGCCACGGTGGTCCTTTAGGAAGGGCAAGACCCCGATCAAAGCAGGAGTCCTGGAGCAGAAGGGCAGAAGTCAGCAGGAAGAGAGGCATATAAATTTTGCAGATATTAAGGCAAACAGTGCCACCTAGGATCTTTATTCAAATGGGGTTTATCACTTGGACAGAAATCACAGGTGAACAGCACAGGATTCCTCTTGGAAGTGCCAACACGGCCCCTCCCCACAGCCATCTGTCCAAAGTCCCTGTCACTGTCTGCTCTCCAGCTCCCCAGCCCTATGCTGCTGGTCCCCCACAGCCAGAACCCCTGACCCAGCACAGGAAGGTGAGGGGATGGCCTCGGGCCACGCCATGTCCCACAGCTGAGCAACCCTGGCTTCCGGGCCAGCCGGCTCTCCCTTCCACCTCGGGGCTGAGCTAGGTCCCCCTGAGGGTGGGGACTGGAGCTTCCCAGAGTCAAGGGGCGAAGGGCCAGGGTGAGGGCGAGGCTGTCCAGGCTCACAGCCCTGACCCGGCGCAGAGGCCAGGGCACCAGTCCCTCCTGATCCTGCCCTGCAGCCCTCCCCAGGGGCTCAGTAGATCTTCTGCCGGCTGGGGAGAATGGCCTCTTTGATGAAGGAGAAGACAACCAGGATCCCTAAGCGTTTGCCCCGCTTGCCTTTGGTGAAGTAATTGGAGACCAC